CCCCCCCCAGCACACACATATATGCACATTCCTTGTTCAGGAACCTTCTCCCATCCCTGGTGGCCAGACCACAGGGATGGACCCGCCAGACCTCCGGTCCTCTGCAGGAGTTCTGTGTCACCCTCGTGCCCTCAACACGTTTCCAGTGTGATATCCCCGTATCCCTAGTCTGGGTCAGGGGTGGGCAGCTTTGCTGCAGCACCCTGGACAGCGACAGCGCTCCCCGGGTGGGCTCGGGGGTCTGGGCTGGGGGTGTCCCCTTGCCCTGGGAATCCGCGCTGGGATGTCGGCAGGAGTCTGGGTTGTGGCTGTCCCCGAGGGACTGGGGGCTGTCCTCCAGGGGCTGGGTTGGGGCTGTACCTGAGGAACTGTGGCTGTCCCCGGGAAGCTCAGGGTGTCCAGGGTGACCCAGGAGGCCCAGTCTGGCCTCAGAGACGGACTCTCAAACAGGAGTTTCTGTTCCCTTGGGTGCCAGGGACCTGTTTTCGTGGTTGCCTCTGGCCAGAGTGTGTGTCTCCGTGGGAGTCCCTGTGCCTCTTCAAATATACAGGTGGATGGTGTGGAAGTCTAGGTGTGAGCATGAGTGTAACAGTCTGAGTGTGCACGCCACTGAATTTATAAAAGGGAGCACAAGTGACCACCCACATACGTGTGTGCCTCCCAGCTCAACCATGGTCACCTGTGTCCTCTGTGGGCACTGCTCAGGTAGCAGGCACTACTACTGGCAGCACTACTGGCATCTTGCCAGGTGCAACCTCACAGCCCCACAGACAAGGTCTCAGCAGTTCCAGCGTCATGTTTCCTTTCCTGGCACAGGGCAGCCTAATGGGATCCCCACCCATGGGTGAGCTGCTACTGGGAGCTCATGGGGGCAAACCCCACAGCCTGGCTGGCACAGCTGGAGTTGGTGCCCTGTTGGATCCAGCCCATGTCTGAAAGCTCTGGTGGGTGCAGGGCACCTATTTGCAACTCAGAGCTCCCAGAAATTGAGCTGGAGGCAAGCATGAGGTGGGCTGTGAAACTTCAGGCACTACAGGTGTCACCCCAGGGTATCACAAGGCTGTGGGGGTGTTCTGCACCTCCAAACTGGGCCCTGGAGCTCGGAGGGTGGCACCATGCCCTACACACCACCCTCAGCAGCAGTCTGGTTGAGTTTGATTCCTTTAATAGATACACGGAGTCGCGCGGCTGCAGTGGGAGTGCGGGGAACAGGCTGGCGCTGCCGAGCCGCCCGCGCTGAGGTAGAGGTGAGCGTCGCTCCACGCTCACCTGCTTTGGCACCCTGGGGCACACACGAGTGGAGGAGGCGCCAGCCCAGCCCCAACGAGGTAGTTCGGAGTGCCGCTGTCTCCCTGTCACCCGTCTGGGGACCCTGGCACCCAGGCAATCTTTGGCGGTGGGGGGCTCTGCTGGGCAACCCTCCCCTCCCCCCACCAACAAGCCCCACTCCGACATTAACCCCCAACCCCAGCCCCACCCCAATAAGCTCCACCCCCACCATTCCCACCAATATCCCCATTATTTGCCCCCCCCAGGGTGATCCCCCTGAGCTGAGGACCTGGGGGGCTCAGATGCCACCACCCTGGGGGTGTCTCAGGGCAGGGGCAGCAAGCCCAGGCAGCGCAGGAGGGCTGGGTAGGGGCATCTGCAGTGGGTAGGGGGTGCAGTATATATAGGGGCTGCAGTGTATAGGGGCTACAATTTATAGGGGCTGCAGAATACCGTGCCTGCAGTGTTTGAACGGAGGGTGTGTATGGAGAGGCAATGTGGGCATTAAGGGTGTGTGCAGGGGATACAGTGTATGCATTGAGGCATGTACAGGGGCAGCAGTGCGTGCATTGAGGTGAGTTAGGGGCTGCAGGATGTAGGGGATGCAGCATGCAGGTCCCGGGGGTCCCCCAGGCATCAGGGCAGCAGGAGATGTATGTGGGGGGTTACCTGGGGGTAGTGCCTTGGGAAGGAACATTTGTGTGTGTTTGTCTGTGTGTGTGTGAGAGAGAAAGGGCACGTGGGGGGATAAGGGACAAAAGGGCCCACGTGGGTGCTCACAGCCTTGCATGGACACAGCTCAGTATTGCAGCAAAAGCACCTCTGTGTCCCCCATCCTACCCTGGTGGCCCAGCTGGGTCCCACAGTTCAGGCCCCCAGACTTTGGGCACCCCCAGCTGTTTCCAGGGTGGGGGCATGTCTGCCTCACGGGGAGGTGCTAGTGGGAGTGTGGCTTTGAGAGGAGGCCGGGAGCAGGGGGTTTGGAGGAGGCATGGGGTTTGGACGAGTCTGGGTGCTCCCTCCACCAGATGCCAGGGTGGCTGAGGGCCGGCGGGCGAACAGGACACCTGGGGGACAAGAACAAGCAGGTTAGAGCAAGCCCAGGGTTGGAGGATCTGCTCACCTGGCCCCTAGCACCCAGGCTGGGGAGAGTGGGACCAAGACTCAGGGGGTCTTCAGCCCCCTCGCATCACCTGTGGTGCCTTCCCCAACCCAGTCATCCTCAGTTACATTGGGCAGCCTGCGGGGTGGCCCAGAGCCCATTTGGCTGGCAGCCCCATATGATGCTTAGCCCTGACCTTTCCAGCTTGTTAAATATTTAAGTTCTGAAGGCAAAGCCCTCAATTTTAATTGTGGGGCATCTCAGCAGAACAGGCATGGATCTGGGGGGCATGGGATGGGCCAGTTAGCCAGGCTGATGCACATTAACACCCCAAAGGATCGTCTGCTCCAGCAAAGCATCCCAACATCTTTTCCTGCAACATGCTCTGCAATCAGGCAAGCCTGACATCCAGCCAGAGACCCTCTGGGCACACAAGCATTGGGGTGACCCCAAATCCAAGCCCTGCCTTTGGGACCCTGGGGGCTGGAATAACCCTAGGTGCAGGGTCACTTCTGAGTCAGAGTACACCCATCTATTCACCCCCCATTTTAGCCCTTCATTGCTGCACCTGCTTTGGGCCACTTTCCATCCTTGTCAACCCCCTCCTTCTCCTGCCCCCTCTCCCCAAGCCCTGCCACTTCATTACGATGGATTTTATAGTAAAGACATCAGATTGAAGGAAGGACTTGCTGGCCAGGCAGTGGCTATAAGTTATTGGATTTCCCGGCCGCAATTACACGGGCCAAGCGGCCCTTCTATTTACCTGTGTAGACAACTCCATTTATTTCTATTGACATGTTGATACTGCTAATGCTGTTGGTGGACAGGTTCAATGCGGTCTCCTGTCTGTCATCTGGGGAAAGGAAATACCAATATGAGTGTTAAGCGAAACAGAAACAAGAATCTGTCCAAGATAGATAAGCCGGGACCCAGTCCCTCTGGGCATCCATACTCCTCGCCAGTTGCTGCTGTTGCTCCCACCTCGGCTGCCAGAGAAAGGGATGACCAAGGCTGAGGTGTTGCATCTCGTTACCTCGGTTGGAGATCTTGACGTTCATGGGGAACTGGGAGGCCATGGCCAGGAGGTTGTGCTGAAGCGCGTGTTGCACCAGCCGCTGCTGCTCCTCTGCTGTCAGGGCCACCTTCTTCTCTGGGGGCTCCCCTGTCTCCAGCTTCTCCCGCAGCTGCTCCAGCACCACTGCCTGTGAGGCAGCTGCTGCTTGGGCTGCCGTGAGATGATGCCCGGCCAGTCCCACCGGGATAGCAATGTGCCCTGGCACGGATGCTGCCAGCATTCCATCCTCTGCAATGACCAAGAGAGCTCAGCCACCCCAAGTGACCTCATTGCCACCCCACCTCACCGTTCCCAGTGGTCCCAACTCCACCCCACCAGCAATGGGGTGGGCCGGCCACCACTTCCAGCATCTAGGCTTGGTCCTTCTCCAAAGCCAGGGAAAATACACTTGTTTCACTCCCTGAAAGGGACTAAAAGAAGAACATTGTTCCTATTTTCCCCAAGCAAAAAGTGCAAGAGCAGACAGGGAACATCCCTGCTGCTGGAGCAGTGTCCATTCATGGGAAGAGATGGCCATTGCTGTGCAGCTGGGACCCTCACCCACCTTTCTTAACACTGTGCACTTGGTTGAGCTGGCCACAGCTGTGTGTGGAGATGCTAAGAGCTGGCAGAGGCATTTTGGGGGTGCCCAGCAGGGTTGGGGTGCTGGCCGGTGAGTAGTTGAAGAGTGCTGTGCCAAAAGTCTGCCTCCGCCCCTCCCGACGGTTGCTGTCGATGGCAGCTTGGAGCTCTCCGGGAGAGCTGAGCGCCCGCTTCTCACATTCATAGGGATACAGGTACTTCATGTATCTGTATGGGGAGAGAGCCAGGGGGACATCCACAATTTTGCACCTCCCAGCCAGCCCTGTGGTGAGCAAAGAGCCCTTGGGAAGGAGCAGAGCCCTCCAGCCACTATTGTGGTACTCCATGTCAGGCCCCACCCAGGGCTCTGGGACATCTGAGCCAGCAGGTGTCCCAGGGCAGGTGTCCCCCGCCTGCTGGGCTGCCAGGCACTCACTGTGTGCGAAGGGTGAAGGCAGCACTGGTGATGGAGGTAGGTAGGTTGAGGCCCTTGGTGATCTCCCGCCAGATCTTCTTGTTGATGACTTCGACCAGGCCACCCTTGTCTGTCACCAGCTGGTACAGTGTGTACAGGTCCAACACTTGCTTGGCCATGATGGGGATGCGGTTCACCGGTGTCCCTTCCAGCAGAACACAGGAGATGGAAAAGGGTGTAGGGGGCTGCCCACAGGAGCCTTTTGTACCTGGGCTCAGAGCCCCCACCTTTCCCCCACTGAAGGTACCCACAATGGCAGGCACATCCCTCCGTGACAAGGTGAGCACCTGTGGGCACCTGGGGCACAGGCAGGGCCAGAGTGGCACTGTGCCAAAAAGCAGCCAACTCCAGCATGCTGGCAAGAGAGTGACCTTTGATGGAGCTGTCAGTGGGGCTGGGTATGCTCTCATCTGGGATATGCAGCCATAGTGGGATGGGAAAAGCACCGCCCCCAGACACCCTTTGATAAGGTTGTCTCTCTACAATTCTCAGTGCTATCTGTACAGCACCAATCTGTGAAATCTTTAGATCATCCTAGAATGATTCACGCTGTAAAACCCTTTCAGAGCCCCATAAAGATCCCATCTACACTTTAAAAAGGGACCCATCCTATAACCTTTCCGAAGAGGGATGACCCCCACAACCCCTCTGTGAGGACTCACCCAACTACCTCTCTGGAGAGATTTTCTCTTCCAGCTCCTAACTCTTCCAAAGAGTTCCTGAAAAACCTCTTAACCCTACAGATGGCCCCAGAAGTTTCCTCTGCTTAAAGGACTTCAGTGCCCTGCTTCAAGAAACCTGACCCCTCTTTAACTGCTCTCACTAGAGACCCTGACCCATGGTGCCCCAGCATCACCCTCCTGTATGAGGCTATGGGGCAAACGGACACGGGTTCACCAGGGTTCTGTGAGCCCAGTATAGATATAGATCAGCATGGTCTCTCTAGCCATCTAGTCTGGCTAAAAACCCCTTCCCACTTTCTCAGCACCCCCAAATAACCCCACAGCCTTGCTGTACTCCATGCCTCCTTTGGATGATGGTCTGGGCATTTGCTGGAAGCTGAGAAGGGACACACATCACATCCCATTCCACCCTGTCCTGTGCTGTGCCATTCGACCCCATATTTATTCCTCCTGCGAGGTGGCGGGGCACAGGCAGTATTGGAAAGCCATCCATTTGGCCGAGGGAGGCTGTCACGACTGTGCTTCGCCCCTCAAACGAAGCCGTCATTCACCGCCATCCTCCAGCATCCCTAATTTATGGCCCTGATATTGGCTTGGCTTCTTCACATAAGCCTGAAAAATGAGCTCTTTTTATTCTTTTACTGAGTTCATTTAACTTTTTTTTTTGTGTGTGTCTGTGTTGTTCACCAGGTTGGGAAGGGGGAGAGGAGTTCATCCCCCTGGGAGAAAGGCAGAGATATTGACTTGACATCTGCTGTCGCTAGCACACCAGCCTGCTCAGGGCTGTTGGCAGAAGACCCATCACCTCGGGGGGGCCCAGTTAGAGGGCTCTCCCCCAGTGCCAACAAATTTGCAGGATCTCAGGCCCCAGTCAATGGCCCATGGACTCCCTTCCCTTCCCTTCCCTTCCCTTCCCTTCCCTTCCCTCTTCCCCTCCTCTCTTCCTCTTCCCTCTTCCCACTCCTCTCTCTTCCTCCTCTTTTCTCTCCTCTCTTGGTAGCTTACAAAAGTGCCTTGCCATTAATCTCGGGGCTGTGTGGGGTGCGTGGCCGATGCCTGTCCCACTGACAAAGGCACCTGTCTGCATCCCCACAGAGTGATGACCCCAGCCCCAGCCAGGGCGAAGGGCACAAAAGCCCAGTGAGGTGATATTGCCATTGTGGTGCTGCAATTAGTGCCTTGATTGATTAATAGCCCTGTCTTATCAGCAGGGCACTCGGCGTGGTGGTGAAATTGTCGGGGGGGAGGGCCTGCAGAACCCAGTAAGCAAATGTGGAAATAGCCCCCTTGTGTCCCTATTACCTTTGATGTGCCACAGAAGTTGGGGCATTGTCATGAGCTGCCCCACTGCCTGTACCCCATAGGTCACTATGACCTCCATGAGTGACCAGGGCTAGCTGTGCCCTTGTCCTATGGGGTGGCCTCAGAGGATCTGCCCCCCAACCCATTTTTCAGCCCTATAGATTTTCCACTCTTCTGACAAATGTCAGTGTTGATACTATCCACATAAACAGTAGGGTTTGCCCTGTGGATATCAATCCCTCCTGGAGACTCTGAGGACACAGGCTGGGTGTCACAGTCCCCTGCCCATGCACCTCTGGGAGCCTCAGCTGTACCTGCAGTGGTTCTCAGGTGCTGCTTCTTACCCAGCTCTTGACGATCCCTGGGATGCTGTCCTTGCCCCTCAGCCCTTCTGTCCCCTTTCTCTTTGGTCCAAAATCCCTGTCTCCTCCAAAGAGTTCATGCACACCTGCACCTGTGCACCCACACCCTGCCTGCCCTCCCCAGAGGGATGGTACCCACTTGGAGGAGAGGCAGGAGGGCACAGCAGTGGGACATCCAGACACAGAGGGATGTGGAGCAACACTATCAGGGAAGCATTGGGCTTCCTCCCTCCTCCCCACACCAGCAGGCACTTAATTAGCCCCAGCCCCAATAGTGAGGAAGATAATTAGCTCTAGAGAGAGAGATAATGAAGCTGCAGAACAGCCCATGAATCTTGTAGCTGATGGATGCTGGGAGGGCCCAGATACTGCTGATGCTCTCACTCACTCCCCACAGATCTGCATGAAGGCCAGTGGGCACCCATGCGGCAGTACCCAGCACATCCATGGCCTACAGCTGGCCCCAGTGTGAGCCCTATGGCTATGCCAGCCACTCACAACACACCTATGAGTGCAACAACTTTGTGGTGTCCCAACCCAACCCTAAAGTCAATCTCTGCAGCCCCACAGCCAGGTGGAGATCCTCACCATCCTTCCAATGGTAAGGACATGCGGGTGACTGCCCCTCTCTGCTCTCCCTCACCCCAGGCACAGCCAGCCCCAAAGCCCCTGCACCCCCCTCAGCCTTTCCCCGTTAATTAGCTCGGCATTAACCTCTGCCTGGGGTTTACTGGCTATCGAGCGGCTTGTTCATTAATCCACACACCAGCAAAAGGCTCTAATTAATACGGCCAGCCACACGCCCGCGCTCGGCAACTTTTAATTGTCGCAGCCCCGGCCGGGGAGGGCGAAGGTTAAAGTATTTATCGAGTCCCTGGGAGCCAGCTCGGCCCCCCATGCCGATAGCAAAGATTTCCGATGAGGATGGGTTGGCTGGCGAGCCCTTAACCCCTGGATGCCTGGATTGCTGGCCCCACTCCCACAAATCATAGGCATTGCTGAGAGATGCTGATGGTGGGCATCCTCACCAGGCGCTGCTAACAGGGAGCCCTGATGGGCATTGCCAAGGGCATTCTCACCAGGCACCTCTAAAACGTCCTGAAAGCTGCTGATGGGCATCATTAACAGGTGTTGCTAATGCTTGTCACCAAGGGGTATGTTAATGCACATCCCCACCAGGTGTTTCCAGTGGGCATCCCTGCTGGACATCGCTAATGGGCATGGGATAGTGCATCGACAGATGCCCCAACTTGGGGTTAGGGGAGAAGGCCAGGGGGAGCACCATAGGACCTGCCTGTTTTGGAGGGTTTTGCAGAGACCCAGAGCAGCTCAGGGCCTGAGAACAACACACCAATAAGCCCCCCACCAGCAGCCAAGGCAGGGGTGGCAGTGGCACCCACCCCAGCCACCCACCTTTACCTCTCTTCTGCATGAAGCCAAAAAGGTCATCCAGGAACTCCTTGCGTTTTGGGTCCTCATCTAGTTCATAGAGCTGGAGGCAGGGAAGAGAGAGAGAGAGAGGAGGGGGTCAGTGCTTCCAGCACATGCAGGTGAGAATGGAGAGGGGAGCAGTGCCTGGGGCTAAACACTGCCTGTGCCAGAAGCTGGCATCACCCCTGGCTCCACCTGCCTGCTCTGCAGCAACAAGAGGCTCTCTGTGGACCACTAACAGAATCCCCTGACACACCCTCTGCCTGGGTGTGGGCTCTCCCCATACCTGGGGTCTGTCATGGTTCCCCACAGACCACTGACTATTTTGAATCTTTGCCGCGGAGATGCTGAGTCTGTGCCTGAGTTTGTCCTGTCCCTCATCCTCTTAGATGCAAGAGTCACAGCCCAGAGGCATCAGCAAACCCCAAGCACCAGACAGGACCCCAGGATCGTGATGCTCAGCTCTGCTCTGCCACTGCTGAGTGCTGGTGTTCCCCAAGTCCCAGCATGGGATCAGCATCCTCATCAGCATCCTCATCCGTCACAGGGACACAGGCCCCAAACAGTGGGGGCTGATCCCATCCTGGGGAAGGAAAGGTTGGCTCGCCCATGGCACTGGATACCATCGAGGGAGCTGCAAATGCCGGGGCTGCCATGAGCACAGGATTGCACAGACACAAACATGTGGCTTTGAGGATATTTCTGTGTGCTGGGAGGTCTGGACACATGGACACAGCCTGAGCTGAGGGACAGCACGAAGTGCCAGCTCCGTGTGGAAGTCCAAGCTTGCCTGATTCCAGCACAGTGCCTGAGTGACCATGACAAATTGGAGCCTGCCAGATCGATGGCCCAGCAGTAAAAGTCAGAGCACATGAAGGAAAAATTAGCACCAATCGAAGACGCTATAGACACCAATTCCTCCCAGCAAGCCCGGCAAGAATTTAAAGCCATTGAAAAGAAACAAAACTCAGCAGTCCAGAATGGATTTCCAAAACATATACAAAGAAATGCAAGCTGGAAAACAAAGTCAGGCACAAAATAGAGTCGTTTAAAAAACAATTGTGCTGGGAAAGGCTGTTAAAAACCAATAGAAAGGGAGCACACCCCCACTCCACACAGAACATCATTCACCAGACAGATAAAGGGAGCTGTGCTTAAGGGTCTCAGGCTGCAGGGATATGGAGATGTGGGGATGGGGGTGGATGCCATGGGGGCACATGAATGCAGAGATATATGGGAATGTAGGGATGTGAGGTTGCAGGGACTCAGGGTACACAGAGATGTGGGGATTCAGGGGGATGTGGGGACCTAAAGGGATGTGAGGATGCTTCTACAGACCCCATGGTTCCCACCACTGAACAGATACACCTAACACAGTCCCATGTCTAACTCAGGTGCCAGCTTCTTGTCCCTTCTCAGGGACAGACTGGTGCTAATTGCCTGTCCCTAATTTCATCTAGGGGTACAACTGCCAGGATCACACCATACCCACAGGTCCTGACTGCCTGGCTCCATGGAGCTCCTTCTTTGCTGCCTCCCTGCTCTCTGGATCCCACTCACCTATTCCCTCCTTGCACCAGGGTGCTTTTGGAATGCCCTGACCCCTGGGTGCCAGTATTGTGTCCCTCTCCACCATGGTTTCCTGTCTCGCTCTGTGCACCCTCCCCATCGCCTGCTCTTTTCCAGGAGGTCCCCAAGCCATTGATTACAGTAACTAGGTCAGGCTCTTAGCAGAGCTCCAGGAGGTTGCTTTGATTTCTGCCCCAGGAAGGCTGTGTCAGCCAGGCTTTGCCTGCATTTCCCTGCCTGTCTCTGCCTCTGGAAGACCTCCACACCAAGTGCTTTGACATCTCCTGACATCTGGCTTGTCAAGGTAGGGGCAAACCCCCAAACCGGCAACTACCACTCATCCCACTGGAAGGTGAAGCCATGGCTGTCCCGAGGGTTGCCCAGTGGATGGGCTTCAGTACCTACACATGTCTGCCCTGGGTGCCTCTCATGTTTCTCCTGCATTGATGCAGGCAGGATCCCATCCAGAGCAGGCTGCTACTGACTCCAGCCCCCAAAACAGGTGCCCTCCGAGGGCCAGGTTCTATTTTTCCACTGTTTATTAACCTCTAACCTTTTATCTGTGGGGCACTGAGATGCAAAAACACATTACATCAAATGGGGAGCAAAGGTCAGCTTTTAAGTGGAGATGAGAGCGGAGCTGAATAACCGGGTACAATCCGGCACAGCCCTTGGGTAGTCTGGGATGCACGGGGTGTTCCATGAGATTTGGAGATGCTCAGGCTGGAGAAGAGGTCTCCTGGGTCACACACAGTCACTGTGCAGGGACACATGCCTCACCTGGGTGTACATAACCCCACACAGGCTGCCACAGTCCCACGTGGTGGGTGCAAAAGCCCATGTAAGCATATACTACCCTACACAGGCACACACAACTACTATACAACCCTACACAGGTTTGCAGAACCCCACAAGCGTGCACAGCCTTGTGTGGGTTCACTCAACCCCACACGAGTGTGCACAGCCCCTCATGGGCATTGCACAGCTCCACACAAGTATAGGCACAACCCTGTACAGGGACACAGAACCCCCCCTAGTGCCCCACAAAAGGTGGAATGGGCACATACAATCCTGCACAACCTTACACCCGTGTGCACAGCCCTGCAGGGGCACATAGAACATCACAGGAATATGCACAAGCCTGTGATGCACATACACACACAGCCCACGCAGGCACAAATCACTACACAGGCACACACAGCCACCTCTCGAAGTGCACAGTCTCCCATGGGCATGTACAGCAGTGTGTGACCAGACTTCCATGGGCACACACCAGACTGCAGGAGCATCCACAACCCCCTACATACATCATGGGCACGCACTCCAAATGTGCATGCACAACCCCAGATGGAACACGCACATTGCTGTATGTGCACGCAGAAACCAAGACTGGAACACATATCAGACAGGCATTCATAACCCATATATACATGCACAATTCTGGACAGGCACTCACAACCCTGCAGGGGCATGTACAACCCCAGAATGGAACACACAGCTCTAGACAGGCATGGATAACTCTAGACAGGAACACAAAAATCCCAGTTGAGCATGCACAGCCCCAAATGGGCAGAGCCCCATACACGTGCGCATAACCCCAAACAGACATACACAACCCCATATATGCACACACAAGCACATACAACCCCAGACAGGCACTCCACATGGATGGGCACCCCTGACCCCGCAGGGCACACGTTGCCCCAGAGCATCCCCCCACCGTGCGCCTGGGAGCAGTGGTCTGAGCCTTGCCCAGGGGAAGTTGTGCAACACAACCAGAGGCTCCTGCTTGTGGTGACCTATGAGCAAGGACCCTTTTAATCGTGTTTGTATTGATATAATTAGTAACTCATTTAACGCCATCGATGTAACTATATTCCTCTATAAACGGAAGTATCAAACTGTCAAGCTCCGGGATCGATATCCCGCCGGTGCGCAGCGCAGCCCTGCTCTGCCGACCTCGGGGACCTGCCCATGCTTGGCCACTCCACCGGCCTTGGAACCCCAGCAGCACCCCACCTCCACCTGCACTGCTGGCCTGGGTGCTTGTGCAGGACTAGTTCCTCATCCTACAGCCCACGTTGGGTGCAGCTCTGGGACCTGCTCCATCCTGTCATCCTATTGCCATGGCGACATCTATATTCCTGAAGGGATTGGGATAACGGGGCTTGTCATGCAGGTTAAAGGTCAGCGGGTCGAACACCGTTTATTAACAGGACATGAATAGACCTTGTGCTTCCTCTTCCTCCTCCTCCTCCCACGATTAAGTAACATTGTTAGCACCACTCATTCACCAAGGAGATTACTTTCCTGGAGCCAGGAGGGCTTCTAGAGATGAAGCTCGGGTCTTAGACCTCTTAGCCTAGCTGACACCCTAGACAGTGGAAGGATGTGATGAGGTGCTAAGCCACTCCCCAGGCACTTCAGCTTGCCTCATCGTGGTGAGTCCCCACACAGTCCCCCCTGGGCCCCACTGCCAAGGGAAGTGGTCTCAGTGGGAACCCCACAGTCCCCGCTCAGCTGCCACCTCCTGCTGGCAGAGAGGGCTCAGATCAGCAGCCAGGATTCAATCCACTTAATATGAGCTGTATCGATCCTGGACCCTGCTCAGCTCCCCCCCACCATGCAAACCCCCCAACCCTGAGCTGCTTAATATCCACCACATTGATTAGCCACACTGCTAATTTTTCCATCTGGCCGCTGTTCACGCAGCGCGCCCAGGTAATGCTCAGCTCCCTGCACCCCCCAGCCACACACCACGGGTGGCTGACTGCTGATGCACTGTTTTGGAGTCACTGCACCTCTCCGGAGCTCAACTGTTGTCTCTGAGATCCTTCCCAAGGAAGATGGTTGGTGCACAACCAAGCACCCAGACACTGGTGTGTCCTCCCCTGTGCCCTGCTGGCATGCCTCAGTTTACTCTGCAGGTAGCCACAGAATCTGACCATTCCCATTGAGGAACAGCCCTGAGCACACTGGGGGTCAGGGATCCTAAGAGTATCCACAGTTAGAATCTTCCCCTGCCATGGGGCACACAAAACAAACTAAGGGTTTGCATGTCCCTCCCCCCATCCCCATTGCCAGAGCTGGGGGGCAGTTCACTCCCCGCCAGGCACAAACCACCCCCTGACCTTGCAAGCCACCACTCGCCTCTTCCACCAGTTGTTAATAAGTTAATGGTTATGGGACAGCTTTGCCGGGACAGCCGACTGCATTCGAAGGCAGTGCTGGCTCTTGGGGGGACAATGCTCCTCTGACCCCACAGCCCTGAGCAGTGTGGGGTGCTCACTCATCCCAACACCACCAAACTCAGCAGTCGCCCCACTAGCATAGCCGGACATCTCTGTTTGGGGACCTCTCCCAGCACTGTGGTTCCCCCTCAAAGCCTTTCATCATGCTTAATATTTAACGGCGCTTTATAGAGCAGGCAGGTTTAATCAGCGCTGATAATGCGGCAGATCCGGCAGGTCATTAGAACCCCCCTTCCCGCCG